ACTCAGGAGGCTGAGGCAGGAGAATTGCCTGAACCCAGGAGGCGGCGGTTGCAGTGAGCTGAGATCGCGCCATTGCACTCCAGACTGGGTAACAAGAGCGAAACTCCATCTCAAAAAAAAAAAAAAAAAAAATTCAATACAACTACAATTGGATGCAAGTGGGAAAGAGCAACATGTGGCTTGAATTTTCCTTAAAATACACCAGGGATAGTTAAAGGGGAAAAGTGCTTGGGATAGAGTATAGCTGGCATTTTGCCAGACTCATACCATTTAAACAATGGTTTAAGACTGAATTAAAATCCCAAGCAAATCTCTTTAATCTCCCCCAAAGAGTATAAGATAGCTTTTCAACTCTGAAAGATAGAGCTAATGTAAATACTTCGAATAAGCAAAACGGGGAACGCTGGACTTGAAGAAACTATTTTTGTTCTCTGGAATTCAAGGACTTCCCACCTACACTGAGATCCCCGCTCTGCTTTTAAACTGCAAAAGAGGTTATCCCCGGCTTTTGCAACCATTTCTTTAGTTTTCCATTTTCAACACCAACTCCACCCTGCCATTGCACCCTGACACAGAATCACAGGCTCAAAATCTGGTTAACACAAATACCACCTCAAGCCATTGCCACATCATCCAAGCCTGAGCATGCCCCCAAACTATCCTTTCTTCCCATTTCATAATTAGGTACAGTGAAGAATGAAATGGCATTGGAGTGAAACGGAATGAAAATGGCAATTTTTGTCAGATTAATGGAATTTAAAGAGAATCAGTGGCTTTAATGATCAATGTTTCTTCTCCAAAGGCACTCTATTTCCACACTCAGCTGGAGTCTCCCTGTACTAGTGCCAAGCAGGCAAATGTCACCTTTGAATCCCAGGAGATGTGTTGATCAGCCTTCCAAACTGCTCAGTGCAAAGATGCTTGGAATTCAGCAGTGCCACTTCCAGCTAACTGGCTCTGATTCCTATGGATGCAACTAGTCCTCCTCCCTGGCTGGACTAATGCCAGTCTACTTAAGGAGATAATTGACCACAAGCCAGCCTGTTTGACAGGCTTCCTAAGTGCCAGATGCCAACTGTGCCAGTCCCAGCCCTTGTGGGAGGGCCCGCTCTCCTTGGGATGATAGCTAAGATAGCTTTGTCCTAACCTTGGCCCTTAACTCTGTTCTCAGCTTCCCTCCAAAATATAATCAAGTGGGTCATTCCAAGTTGTTTTCTGTCTACTTTTAAGACTATCCACACCTCCCTCCATCCTCATTGGTTCGCTTCATCTTTCTCAGGGTTCACTTAAGTGGGATACAGGCTAAACAACTACAGCTTTTTCTATCATCCCGGAAACTAGGAGCATGATTTCATGTTGAGAGGGTTACCAAAATGTCACCATTAATTTATTATTCCCTGTATACAGGTTTTAGTGTTTCTCTATAAACTTCTATTATTGCCAAACCAATACTTTGTCAATGGCTGGACCCCTATTAAGCACTAAACCTGGCTCCAATGTCTTTGAGGGGATGTGTTTTGGCACTTGGGTATATAGATCTGATTCTGGTGACAGCAGTGAGCCTGGCCCTGGAGGGGGAGTCTTACAGTCCTGATATCCCAAAGGTCTATCAAGACTATTCCTTGCTGGGTTCCTGGCTTGGTAACGTGGGCAGTGGGTGCTGCAGGCCTCACAATACAGTTGGGGTTCAACAGCAGGCACCAAGTTAGTGAAGAGGGGTTTTCAGGGTGGTGTCTAGGGCTTTAATTGGTTTGTCCCTTGGGATCAGGGTCTTGGCAGAAAAGCCCCACTTCCTTGTTTATTTACATGAATCTCCCTGTTCTCCAGTTTCCACTTTGTGCACAGCTTCCTCTGGGAAACAAGATCCCGCCCCCCGCCCCCCCCCAACCCCATGAAAACTGTGACTTCTCATCTCTTCTCTTTCTCTCCTTACCGTAAAGATCAAACCAGACCACTGTGTTTACCTCACTGATGCAGGAGGGCTTCCACGGCAGGGGCTGGGTGCCAGGAGGATTCAGGCCACAGCTTCCTCTCTTCCTGGAGAGGCTGACCCTTGACCTAGCCCACGCCGGCCGCAGGTCGCTTTGGGCCGCACCTCTCACCTGAAAGCGGGACAGAGGGCACCCCTAAAAAGAACTTTGGGCCATCCAGGCAGGTGAGAAAGAAAGAGGAGGTGTTTCGAAGAAACTCCTGGTATCCCCTAACTCGCTGCAGTTAAACTAGGTTCGGGCCGGGGCTTCAGACTCACCTAGAGATAGAGAAGGCAGACCCCAAAGTACCCCCAAATTTATAACTCCCATGTCAGGGTCTCCTCCTCCTTCTTTCTTTTCTCTTTCAATAATCCAGTAAACCTCGCAGGAAACCTGGCAGTCTTAAGCTGGAAGAATGGGATATACTCCCAAATTGTTTGAGCCCCCAAAACAAAACTTCTGGCCTGAGAAGTGTCTCCCAGGCGAAGTCAAAACGTTGACACACACTGCAATGGACTTTGTAAATAAGGGATTCTTGGAAACACCTATTTTTAAGATGTAACCTAACTTCCTCCCCACTCCTGCCACTGCCATTGCCATTCTGTGCACGGGTCGTCTTTTGACTTTTTATTTTCTTCTGATGAAAGGTCAGAGGTGACTGTCGTTGGGCCTGGCTGGGCAGACAGAAGCTGGTTCAAAGTAGACCCCTGCTAAAGGGTGGAGGGCGGAGGCCCGGCTGCGGCTTCCTAGGCTCCAGCAGAGACGCCGCATCCGGCCAAGGCTGCCTAGCCCACTCCTGGAGCTGCTCTGCAGCCGCCGCTGCAGACCAGTCCCCTTCCTGCGGCTCGACCAGCGTGGCTGCCGGCTTTTGCCTACCAAGAGCTCTGCGGACCCAGACCCCAGGTTGCGGTCTCCCCCGAGGCGCGGCGACCGCGCGCAACAGGTTTTCCAGGCGGCGGTGGCTGGGCGCGGGTGCCTCGTTAATAAGGGAGCGGCAGCGTCCAGGCGCCAACCCGGCTGCCTCCTTCCAGCACCGCAGACTTAAGGGGGCGCCATTGGGCACCCATCCCGCTGACACCGAGTTCCTGGCCTTAGACCGTAGTCGAGGACCTCAACATGGTAGAGGGGTGATGACAAGAAAAAAGCACTGTTACAGGTGTTTGCTGATTCAGTCTCTACCATAGTGGTGGACTTAAGTTCAATTAGGAAACGGGCATGTTAAAAATAGGTGGTGGCCGGGCGTGTGATCCTCACGCCTGTAATCCTAGTACTTTGAGAGGCCTAGATGGGAGGACTGTTTGAGCTCAGGAGTTCCAGACCAGCCTGGTAAACAGTGAGACCTGGTCTCTAAAATACTACTATTAATAATAAATAAGTAGAAAAAGAGATGATTGTGCCAAAGGCTGAAAGGAGCAATGGAGGAAATCGGTGCTTACTGGTGGCTCGCTCGCGAATTCACCCCTTTGAAGTTCTGAAGTTAAGAAATAAGAGGGAGGAGGAGGATTTGCAAAGTGCCCTGACCTAACAGTGGGCACTCAAACCACTGGATAATTGAAACACCTTCACACGGGGCCAGCAGAGATATCTAGAGAGAAGCTTTAATAGAGAACACCGCGTACAACACAAGCAGACATAAACAAAGTCACAACCCGAACGCGGCGAGGACACCAGGCGGAGGTGACTTAAAGCCAAAGGGCAAAGAGGATTTCTCCTCACTCTGCCCCCCTCCATTCCCAAAAGTGTGTCTCGAGTAAAGTGCTATTCCTGGAGCCCAAGAAGGGGGAAGGGCAGCAGCGACAAGCAGATTTCTTTCCATTCACTAATTGAAACTGAAGAATTAATTCGCCTGAAAGACATAAACGCCCGAACAGCACATGGGATATCAAAACGGCAGCAGCGTGCAAAGGTGACAGGGTGGTCCCCTGGCGTCCGTCCGAGAACACTGGAAGGGAACAGCTCCTGCAAGCGTTAAGAGCAATATTGTCCAGTGATGTGCCGAGTTTTTTCCTGCATTCATAAGTTTGGGGAACAAAATCCCGCTATACAAGTGATTTGTTTCCTTAAAATTCCAAATGGAACGGATCGTGGGAATTCACATTATTATTCTTGGGCGCTCATCCGATTGATACACAAACGAGTTGCAGGTGGAAAGTCGCCTATATTGTCTCTCTTTGGTTGTGTTTCCCAACTTTTGGAATTTGGGGCTTTACCCTTTAAGCTGCTGCCATTCTTTTTTGTGCAAACTAATTGCTCTAGCGGTTCCTCCCATCCTTCTTGACCCCTGGGCCAGAGTCAAGAAACTTAGCTGTTTCCCAAAGATATTTCGTGGGGTTTCCGCTGCCTCCTCTTCTCCCCCACCGCCTCCAAAGCGACCTTATTAGTGACACCGTTTCCTCGCGCATTTAGCTGACTCGGAAAATAACGGTATCAAACGCTTCCTCTTTTCCTTCTCAAATAAAACGAGATCTCCTTAGTCGACGGCAGTTTTGTCTTAAACGTTCACGAGAGGCGACCGCTGGGGATGAGAACAGCAAAGAGAAACGTGGTGGCTGATCCGTTTCAGCGTCACTCTCTGTTGGATTCTTCCCGGGAGGTTTAGCTCTGGCAGCTTCTACTCCCAGGAATAAGGGTCGGAATCTACTTCCAATTTACCAGCGAATGAGGCTTTCCTAACCTCCTTCGTTCCCTTCTCCCCTCCCCCCATAACATCGATTTATATGAATTTCAATATAAACTCTTACCTGAAAATTGGCTTTCATTAATCTGATTGTACAACATAGTATAAACACAGACACACGGAGGGTTATATTTATTCAGACCACTGGAGAATCCAGTTTTCGGGGTTGTTCGTCAGTTTAAATACCTTCCGTTCCAGCAAAGGCTCACACTCACCAGCTCTACCCCGCCTGGCCAGGGCGCCCTCTCCCCGTCAGGCGGTTTCTGCGGTTCCGGGCCCGGCTTCTCTCCGAGCCGCGCTGGTCCCCCCGCCCGCCAGGTCCCCTAGGAGTGCACTAGCACCGAGTGCAGGGAGCTGCCCTTGCTCTCGGCCGCGGTCGAGGCTGTGGGCTCCAGCAGAGAGGCGACTGGCGAGGCTGCGGCCGCGGAGCACACGGTGGTTGGCGCTGGAGGCTGCTGCGAAGCCGCGGGGACAGTGAGCGCGGGCTGCAGCGAAGACACGGGCGGCAGCGCAGGCGTGGGCTTGATGGGCACCGGCACCGCAGGCAGGCTCTGGCTTGCCGAGTGGCACAGGGCCTTGACCGGGACCCCGAAGGCCCCATACTCCGGACCTACAGGGACTCCGGCTGCGGCCGCGGCGGCCGCGGCGGCGGCCACCGAATCCATGACTCCAACGTGAGGCCACACGGAGCTGACGACGTTGCCGAGCTGGCTGGGCACGGGGTAGCCCAGGTGGTGCATGACGGATGCCAAGGGCAGCCCTCCAGCCTGTAGCACGCCCTTGTAGTCCCGGCCAATAATGTTCTCAATGGCAAAGGGGTGCTTGAAGCCGGATGTGGACGCCGCGGCGGCTGCGGCAGCGGCTGCGGCTGAGCCCAGCCCGTAGGGTGGGAACTGAGACAGGCGCCCCACGCTGCCCACTGCGGCCGCCGCTGCCGCTGCCGCCGCCGCTGCCACGGCCGCCGCCTCCTGCATCTTGCCGGGGTGAGACGGCTGCTGAGGCTGCGACTGCTGCGGCGGTGGCTGCGGGGGCTGCGACGGGAGGTGCGGAGGCGGCTGCGGAGCAGTAGGCGGCTGCTGGTGGAAATAGTGCACCATGTGTGGCGGCGGCGGGGGCGGCGGCGGCGGCGGCTGGGGTGGGTGGTGGTGATGGTGGTGGTGCGCGGCAGCGTGGTGATGATGGTGGTGGTGAGGATGGTGGTGGTGATGGGGGTGAAGGTGCCCTCCCGGCCCGGCGCCCGGCGCGCCCTTGGTGCTTCCCGCGTGCAGGTGAGCATGGTCGGCGCGCAGCACTTTGAAGCGCTTGCGGCGCCGCAGGAAGCTGCCGTTCTCGAACATGTCGCCGCAGTCGGGGTGCAGCGCCCAGAAGCTACCCTTGCCAGGCTGGTCGGGCCGCCGCGGGATCTTGATGAAGCAATCATTGAAGGAGAGGTTGTGGCGCAGGCTGTTCTGCCAGCGCTGTGTGTGCTCGCGGTAGTAGGGGAAGCGCTCCATGATGAACTTGTAGATGTCGCTCAGCGGCAGCATCTTCTCGGCTGAGTGCTGGATTGCCATGGCGGTCAGTGAGATATATGAGTAGGGCGGCTTTTGGTCGCTGTACGAGCTCTTCCCCGGCCGCGGCATCGCCCCTGGCTCCTCCACCGCCCTCTGGCCCGCACTGGGCCACACAGTCTCTCCGCACTTCTTTCCTGGGGCCTGGCTGCCCCCTCTAATTCCCACTCCGCCCGTCCGGTCCCACCACTTTGCCTGCTCGCCCTCCAGGCCCTCTCTGCTTCTCTTCCTGGCCTTCTGCGAATTGCCTAGTGTTTCCGAGTTTGGTCTTTCTGGCCTACTCAGCTCTTGGAAGCTGGCAACTTCTGGCCCCGACGGTTGCCGAGTGGCGCGCCCAACCTGCGACTGTGCGCGCCAGGTTTACCACTGCCTTCTCTGGTCTTCCCCCGGGTGGCGAAAGACCGAGTACTGTAGCTGACGGCTGTGGAGAGTGACGAGGGGTTGTGTTTCCTCCGGCCTCTTTGCTTTTTCTAGGTCCGAGAGAAACCCAGACCAAGCTGGATGACAAGAAGGTCTGGGCAATAGAGACTCTGGTCCTTTAAATCTGAGTTTGCGCCTGCTGTCCAGGAGGCCAGTGACAGCAGGACTTCCAGTGCCCTGGACGCAGTCTCCCGCCCAGGCACTTAGCCAGTCCGCGCTGGAGCTCTCCTTTTCCTGGAGGGATAAATCAGGGTAAGGAGAGAGAATATCGGCTCCCAGCAGCCTGTGCCTCTCTTTTCTCCGAGGCTCGCAGAGGCGTTAGAAGAGACGCCAAGCCCTAGGCGATCGCTGCGGGAGAAAAAGTTTGGTAGTTTCTGCAGCAGCAGCGCCCGAAGGCTCGGCTGCGGGGCAGGGGGGCGCAGGATGCAGGGCGCCAGCGGCGTGCTGGCAGGGGCGTCTGCGAATGCCGGGTGAGTGCTGGCTGAAGAGGCTCAGCCTTCCGCGCCGCAGCTGCCGCCTTTCTCCCCGGCTTGTCTGGAGGAGAGGCGGCGGCAGTGGCAGCGACGCGCTCTCCTGGCTGCGTTTTGTAATGGTCCCCGAGACGCCGCGACCCCCGCAGCTAACACTTCGAGACTATCACATGACCGAGGCTGAGGGACTCCGCCGCCGCCGCCGCAGCGTCTGTAGCTGAAGAAGGGGCTAGAAGGCGCCGCGCCTCGCCCCCGCCCCCTTTTCCACCTCCTTTCGGGCGCTCTCCACCCAACGCGTTCACCACCCGCTCGGCAGCCCCCAGCCACGGCCTGGTGCGGCGGGTGGCGCAGGCTGTCCGCCCCGAGGCTGCACAGCTCCGAGTGCGGTTCCCGATGGTGCACCCCACCCGGGGTCCACTCCACCATGCACCGTGGAGGGGGCAGGACACTGCCTTTTTGCTTCTCTTCTCTCTGGCATCTCCCTTTCCCGTCCCCTTCCTTTTACCCTTCCCTATTTCCCCATATACTAGCTCTGAGCTTCTCTTTCCTTATAAACCCTTTTTCCTGGGCTAGCCACTCCGGGTCAAGTTCAGAGTATCTTGTCCTTAAGGCCTCTTTTCTGCAAGAAACCCCAATGACCAGAGGGCTAGAGGGAAAAAGCTCATGGGGAGGAAAGCATGCGGTGTTTTCGCCACATGCCAAGTTCATCGCAATTTTATTGTGTGCCAACTGCATGTGAGGCCCAGTGATCCGCGCCACGTACAGGGAGACAGGAGTCGATATAGAGGGCGAGACGGACAGTAACCAGGAAATTATTAATAGAATAGACACTAAGGGCTTGGCGGATGGAGGCTCCATCACATTTTCCTGTAGCGAATGAGCTGGACAAGATGAGGTTTCTCTGGGATGGTGATGTCTGAGCTGGGGCCAGAAGTAAGAATTGGGGGCTCAGGGGTCCCATCACCTGTGTGTACTAGAAGGAAGTCTTTGCTCTTCTTAGCATGGAGGTGTGGGGTGGGGCGAGGCAGGACGTGGAATGGAGTTAATTAAATAAGAAGCAAAAATTATCAATCCACAGGATCCTGGTGTGATCTGCGATGGAGAGGTGGATGAACCCAGGCGTGAGGTCCTTCTGCTTGCAGGTTGCTGCTCTGCACTCTTCCGCACACCCAGCAGGGAATGCCGGTTTACTGCAGGGATAACTTGACGTTGTATTCTCGTTTTGGCTACCTTTGCCCTTCGGCTGGGAGGAAAAGCAGAGTTTAGAAACAAGTATACTCTCCGTCTCTGGGCCAGTTTCATTATTTGTAAAACAGGGTGGCTGAAGTTGGAAATTTCACGGAGACTTTCCTGCTATGCGATTTGAGGAGAAAAGAGCATCTAGACACTGATGCTTACTAAGTTTTCCCACACCTAAACTCGAAGAAAGCCCTCAGCCCAGCTGCTTGGGGGGCTGCCCCCTAACTAAGCAACCTTGGTGACACCGGGTCAGATATTTTCGGCTTCTGGCTTTTGGTGAGCTGCACCGTGGGAGCACATCTGTCCGTGGGGTAGCTTAGCCAGGTCGCAGGAGTGCCGCGAGCGAGTCAGGCTCCTAATTTCCACCTTTAGCCAGGAGCTAGATTTCTGGGTATCTGTGTGTGGCCAGTTTGTCCTAGGCCAGGAGATGTTTGATAATAGGTGTTGCGATTGATGCTTGCAAGAAGGCCCCCGGGAAAAGAGCAGCTTCTTGGTCCTAAGTGCTTTTCACAGGACGATGTTTTGTCTTTCACTGCATGCCGGAAACGTTTCTCTTGCCATAGGAGTTTCTGCGGGATTTTTGTCCGCTGAGACACTTTAGGGAGCCGAGCAGCGGACAGTCTCATGGCCTCGGGAAGCCACAGAATTCCAAGGACGCTCACAGTTTGACAGCAAGAGCCCGCTGGAGCCAGGTGGCCCTTTTCCTTTGAACAAGATGGTGCGACAACAGTCCTGTCCCAGCCCAGGAAGCTGGGGTCTACTGCACGGCTGTAAGGCCGCTGCTGAGGGGCTCCGCTTGCGGCTCCCGTAAAGGCTTTCCGGACTTCGACCCCACACGCAGCTCGAGCAAAGGGATCTTTTGTCAGTAGCTCGGATAGCATCTCTTCCGCGGGTTGCTGGAACAGCTGAGTCTCCTTTTGGGGAGCAGCTCTGGGACCGAGCCCCTTGGGCATTTGCTGCGCGTGGGAACCGATCGAGGGGAGGGGCTCTTCAAAGACTCCCGGGACAAGTCTTGGGCGCGTAACACGAATCTTGAACACTAAAAATGAGCCAGACGCTCACTGGGTGAGCTCGCTACAGCCTGCAGACCCGCCGCCACAGCCTCAAGTTCAGCGCCAGGGGACTTGACCAGCGGGGCCAGTGTCTTAGGCCTACGCGAGCCGAGTTCAGCTGGCCGGGTTCCACGCAAACTGGGCTGGAACAGCCGCGGAGGCTGAGCGAAACGCCCCGAGCCTCCCGCTCCCTTATTCAGGGTGTGCTTGGCAAAGGTAGAAAGTGCTCCCCACCACCGAGGCCACAGCGGGCCGCGGCGGCCCAGGCCGCAAGTGTGGCCTAGAGAGCGGACCCGGAGCGCGAGTGGCGCGTCTGTTTTGGAGAGCGGCGGGCTGCGACCGCCGCGGAGGATCCTGGGGGATTCCCAACGCGGCTCGGATCCGGGCTGCAGAGCTGGGGCCGCGGTGGGCGGGGCGGGGGGGACGCGCTCCCGGGAGGTTAATTCAGACAAGTTTTGCAGGCGCGCAGTGGCACCCGCGGGGGCCGGAACGCGCGCGCTCCAGCTGCCTGCAGACCCCCGCTCAAGAAAAACAGATCGTGTAACCACCCTGGCACCAAGCAGTCGGTTTCAAGTTTCCGCAATTAATTTTTTTTTTGTTTTTAAACAACTACGGCACTATCCAAATATTGGCTGGCGCTCAGGACGCTGGCAGGCAAGCATTGCCCCGGGCTTAGTGTAATTATCTCAGGCATATTTGGCTTACCCCTTAGGCAATTGTTGGCGACGCTTTGCTAGGAAGAGGGGTTCAGGCAAGCTTTTATTGCGTTTAATTGGCTCTATGGAGGGGAGTAAAACAAGATGTGGAACTTTAGGAGCGGTTATTTATTCATTCTCTCTCTTCCATGCCCCCAGCCCCTGGAGGGTCTCACGCGCTCCTTGGCCTGGGTCTAGGCCAGGCCTTCCTACGGCTTCTGCGGACAGCTGTGCCCAGCGCGAGGAGGAACGCAGGTTACCGAAGGGCTAGGATGACGTGCAGGACTAGACAGAAGGCAAAGATTCACACGCACATCTCAATTTCCATGGGCTTTCCCTTTACCCACTGACCTCTGACGTGCGGAAGGTTGTCTGGGTTAGTTGCGTTTGGGTGTCTCCCAGGAGCCTTCTTGGTCACGCTAGCCTGGCACTTGCCTGACCCTCGGCTGACTTCTCGGCGCATACTTTTCCCAGACGGAACTCCTAAAGTGAATTTGAAAAGGGTGGGAGAAAGTCATCCCCGGAGAGCGGAAACCTGGCTTTCAGTTCGAGTCCCAGGCACCACTGGCTGGATGACCCTGGAGGCGTCATTTCATCGCTTTGGGGTTATTTTTCTTTCCAGGATTACTCAGAAGTCAGAACTGCGCCTTCGAAGGCTCCAAGGAGTTGAGGTTTGAAGCTGTGATCTCGATGGTGGAGTGGTGCTGGGTGCCTGGGCGCTGGGCGCGGGGAGCTCAGCACCTGTGCAGCTCGGGACGGGGCGGGGCATCAGCGCCACCCGTCCATCCCTTGTGGCGTTTTAGGAATCCGTCGCCTCCAGCGTCACCACCCGACCCGACAGCTTGGTGAAGTGCATCCCTCCCGGGTTTCCGACCCGTCCACCCCCCGCGCCGGGCCCAGCAGGGGCCCAGAGCACAGGTGTTGGCTCCGACCCTACTTGGATTTGAGTGCATAGGCTCGATTTGACTTTTCAGAATGCCCGAGGGTGGGTGGTAGAAGGGAAAAGGCTGAGGCCGGGGGCATTTATTTCTTGGAGGAAAAAAAAGCACTGGCCTTGAATTTAGGAGACGACACTCTAGCTCCAGCTTCGCCACCTACTGGCTATGCTACTGCCTCCTCTCTGAGCCTCAGTTTCCTCTTCTCTAAAGTGGCGATGATCCTCTTGCCTTAAAAGTGCGATTCTGAGACGTGGGATT